CAGAAAACACCCCTTGTAGAAAGCGGTTCATGAAAGCAACTATGTGATACTGGTTCAGGAAGAACTCTGCTGCTTGCAACTATCCGATAAGGTTTCGAGAAACGATAATCGACACGATGGCTTTTTGCGTAGTCACTCTTTGCGTTCTGACCCTTCTGTTTTTCAACATATGCTTAAGGCTTACGGGCGACTGCACGTAGCCTACGCCATCCAGGCGAGACACTTCCATCAGAAACATGATGTCGCTGCTTCCGAGACTCCTTAACAAACCGTAGCCAAGGACATTTGGAGCTGCCTCCAACTGCCCTACTAGCTTAGACAGAAATCTCTAGTACTGTACAGCAGTTTATATCGGTGCTTGTGGTGGGACTTCATAACGGTGCACCAGATCCTCAAGAACTCTAATTGCTTTGGCATCCATTGCTGGAACTGGATCCCTACGCTAAAATTTGGAACTTTATAGCCGCCTTTAGTACCGTCTAAACCTTTGATTGCCACCATTTTTTCTAACGTGGAGAGCTTTCTTATCTTGTGCTGTCTCGGCCAGTTAAGCATTGTTTCTTCCCAAGTATATTTCACAACCTCTGTTATCAGTATGCGAATCTGCGCAGCCAATCTATGTGTTCTGAAAATTCTACCTGGTTGGTTTATACCTGTGAAAATGTGAATAAATCGGCTTTTATAGTTAGTCACCATGCGCACAAAATTATGAGTACACCAAAAACGCTTTTCATTTTATATCCAACTTTTTTTCCATATGACTTGTTAAGCTTTGTTTTTTACCCGTAATATACCGTAGTTCCATTATCAGCAGTTATTGATTCAGGCCTGTAATGGCTCTTATCCAACGGCGCTTTATTGATGTACTGTTTTTACTGGAACGCCCAAATAGAGGTTAGTAAAGTCTGCTCTCTTAGGGTTAGTACTAACAGTGTTCGACATTTTACGGACTCTTGTGGCTGTTACTTTCCATTTGTGCAGTAAAATTAATTCTATTTTCCTGCAAAAATTACTTGTTTTGCAACCAACTGATCTTCCTTCAACGCTAATCGATTCAGGCTGCACTTTGTTTTAGTCACCAGAAATACAGTCAATTGTTTCAGAAATTTGTACTCCTGCTCAGACGTCGATACACTTGGAATCGCAACACAGCATTCAAGGTTGTACCATCAGTAAAACTTAAGGTAATAAAGTATTCTGTCAACTTATTGAAGTAGTTTGTCAGATAACCACTAACACTGCTATCCCACCCATTATACATACAGTTAAGATAGATGATGTATCTGAAGTTGCGATTGGTGCTACCTGTCGCGCCGTTGGTAAACCAAAATGATAGAGACAACGGTTGGGATCTGTATGTGAGAAATTATGTGATAAATTTTCAGCAAATCTTATCAGCACTCGCGAGTGGGAGCTTGTCACTTGTAGATGAATTTGTGGTTCATCAAGCATCAACAATGAGGAAGTTTTCAGCATTTGGTATTCCAGAAATTTACTTTTATTAGGTCTTATGTAACTCCGCTGACATTATTTATAGAAACCACGTTGCCAGTTGCCCACAAGGTTTATGGGCCTGCGAATGGAATAGCATATTTAAGAGCTAGAGAAGATTTGACGCATTGACCACACGTCATCGGATTCCAATGGTGGAGTCCACCTACGAGTAAAGGTGGAGGTTCCGAAAAAGTGATTGAGGTTTGCATGTTAGAACTACGAAGGATAACATAGCACTGAAATAGCAGTAGTAAAAGTGAAAGCCCAAATTGCGTCCTGGCGATTTGAGTTAATTTTT